TTAATTTTTCCATCGATTTGTTGCACTCTTAACCATTGAAGTACTTTCAGGTAGCTTTTCAAAAGCTCTTTGCGATAATTGCAGCTGCGTATCTAAAAATGATTTTAAAATGTTGTGCGCATTTCTACAATTGAGACTGTACCTACTTATCTATAAATGTATTTATAACGACAGCAAGCCATCAAATAGAATCAACGAACTGTAAAAATAATGTTTGCGATTCTTTAAATAAATACCAGAAATAAACGAAAAAAAAACTATAAACAAGCAAATTTTATAAAAAAAAGTGCAAGTAGGTGAAAACAAAAAAGGAAATGCGGTTGCAACTCAAGCACCCGTTTGCATAAAATGCCAAACCACATCACAAAAGTATATGCGAAAAAACATATGCACTTAACACGCACACACACACACACACAGCACACACTACGTCGGGTGGTCGGTCGGTGGAGAAAGTTTCATTGTTTTTATGGATAAATGCATTTAAAATTATTGCACGGACTATGCGTAATATTTATATGTGGAATTTTTTTCGCACTTCACTTTTCATAAATGTAAAAGTTGTAATGAAATCATGCAAAATGCAAACATTTTGCGGGCATTTAATGCCAGTTGAACTTTAATTTCCGCGCCTTTCAACTGCAAAAAAAATAACTCCAAAAAAGGAAAAAAAAAATCTTACAAAGGGGTTTGCACAGCAAACGGCCAAGTGTGCAAAAAATACTATGAGAAAAAAAAAATTCATTAAGTAATAATCGCAAATCAAAATACAAAGCATGAAAACGTGAAATACTGCAAATTCGTTAAGCGTTTGTATAAAGGGCATTTAACAACATTACAATGAAGTTGACGGCAGTCAATGGTGTAGAGTAAAAAAACAACAGAAAAAAAAAACAAAAGTTATGAAAGTTTTATTTAACGCAAATGCTGAAATATTTCCTGTTTCCATGAATAATTACATACATACATACATTTAGTGTTTTATACTTTGTGATTTACCTATACACATACGACCTAAGTTTCTTGTTACGTGGCTACTGGATACATATAAAAGTACGAGCGCAGTATGATAAGTCAGTAGCTTCATCTTCATCCAGTAACGAGTACTGACTATACTACTACTAGTACTAGTTATATCGCTTTAGTTGTTATAGTTGTATCAAACCACCCTCGTATACGTAGACGCAAGCTCTTGGACATGTGGATTGCATTTTAAATATACTCTCATGTATTGGTAACTTAACGCTATTCAAATTAATGGCTTATTGAATGCCAATTAAGCCGGCATGTGAGATTGCATTTTTTTAGAGCGTCGACTCAGAGAGCACTTTTAACACATTTTTGTTTTTATACATATTTTGATAGCGAGTAGTTTGGCTGCCAATTTACACATATGTATATATCCATACACTATGTACAAGTATCAGCGTTGCCATTTTGCTTAAGTTTAAGTAAAATTGATTTATTTTTTCCTGCCTGTTGAAATGTTAAATTTTTCTCCGTTTTGCTAAACTTTTTGATTAAAATATTCCAAAAGATAATTTTCCTCAAGAATTCATTTCTGACTATGAGTTCCATTTCAATCAAGCCTGGTTATACCGTGTTACGTGCATGGAGTCAATAACGACGTTAACCGAAAATAGCGTCAACCAGGCTTTAAGCAACCGGCCCTTAGTCTATAAAATTCTTACCTTTGACGACAAAACTGAGCTTTGGGTTGCCTTTACTTAATTACTTGCTTATTTTCTATTTCTATAACCAATTTACCAAGCTTGGTAAGAAAATCCCAAATAAACTAAATATGTAGCTTAATTTGTACGGGATTTGGTAAATTGTTTTAACAATTTTGGTAAATTTATTTTTGGGCCGCGGCAACACTGCATATGTGCATATATGTATATGTATATATACTTGTATGCGTGTTTATTAAACCGGGACGATATACATACGAGAAGAAAAGTTTGAAAGCTTAGATAAATTTTATACAAGCTGTTTTTAAATTTCAGCTGTGAAACATTTTAGCCAAGAAGCTAAGGACTTTGAACTGCAAACATGATCTCATCCTCCCGGAAAGCTCGTTACTATGGTCCGATATGGTTAATCTTTAAAAAAATTTATTAGTTACATGAGTGACTCCACAAAACTGTTGTCCGATAGATGGCGCAATAGTTGAGATAAGTGGAAAGTCCGTATTTATAGTCCGATTTCATATTTAAATAAAATTATAGTTTAAAAAACTAAAACCTCCCTATTATAATTGCCATTCGTACTGTCATCAGGTATGTAACTTGAGAATAGAAATCACTGCATCTTTTAGTCGCATCAATATAACATAGTTACATCCCGAGTAAATAAAAGGAAGGTAAAAATATGTAACTTGAATGGAAGCAAATAACTCCACAAAACATTTGGCCGCTAGGTGGTGCTGGAATCGATTTTTATTTTTTTTTATTAACCTCTAATAAATCTTGTCTTAATATTTTTTTTTTAATTCTTGTTTCGTCTTGGTTCGCTCTAAGCAATTAGGCAATTTAACAAATTTTCCAAACTTTTTTGTTTATAATCAGGAATTAAATAAACTAAACTGTAATCTAATGGCAATATTTATTGAATTTAGTTAGGTGGAAATTGGGGTTATGTTCTAAGATCTATTGCTCGACAAATGTTTACTGGCAAATTAAAAAATTTATAAAAGTCCTCTAAATGCGCTTGAATGCAATTAACTCGCCATTATATTTTCGACCCTGCCTTATGCAGGTTATGCTTAATAACAAATAAATGTCCAAAAAATTGCAAAGTAATTAATCATTTGCGATTATGTGAAAACTACTGAAGATAAAACAGAATTAATTGTTTTATTTAAATTTGAAAATAAATTGACTTTTGTGTGTATGTGTAAATAAGATGCAAAAAATTAACGTCTTTCTTAAATGGTTTTGGTTAAATTGTACGTACACATACCACGTGTATATATCATTTAACTGTGAGTCAAGTTTTCTCAAGTGGGCCACCCAAAGTTGGCTTTTCGATTTTTTATATTTCATTGACCGATTTTGAAAGTTAACATGGCAACAAAATAAAGTAGTCATTTTTTAAAATTTCGATTCTTGTTTAATAGAAATTTTTATTTTTTTAATCAATTGAATTTTTTCACCAACTTCTCATATACCTAGGAAAATAATTCAAAAGCATTATTTGCGCTAAACATTCAATTTTGATTTCATAAAAAAAAATTACTGTTCCTTTAATTGACTTAAAGCTTTTTGCAAAAAAAAAATTAACTAAGTTTAAAAAAATATAATACAAATGAGCTGCAAAGCAAGAAAAAAAATGAAAATAATTTGATAATCCTTGATTTCATACTTAAGGTTGAAAATTTTATTTTTTGCTTTTCAGTTAATTTGTTTATAGCTTTTTAAACTTGGTTAATTTTTTTGGTAAAAAGCTTTAAGGTACAGTAATTTTTTTTTTATGAAAGAAAAAATTGATGTTAATCGCAAATAACGCTTTTTGAGTTATTTTCTGAGGTATACGAGAAGTTGGTAAAAAAATACAATTGATTAAAAAATAAATTTTTTATACAATTTCACAAGCTAAGGTTTAAATCAATTAGCGTTCACCTAGGTAGTGGGCCTTATGAATTAAAACTAATCAATTGTTTTTTCTTATAATTTCAGACATATTACTCGATTTATTCAAAGAAATTTAAGTAAAAGATCTGAAATTTTAAGACAAAACAATTGCTAAGTTTGTATTCATAAGGCCCAGTATTTTTGATGATGATGATTTCTTCGCTGAATCCTTCCCCAATTTCATGACCATATATTGGCTGACTGGAACATCTATGTGACAAGCCGGATTTTTCCAATGCTGATTTGGTTTCAAGAAAATTTTCTCCAATGCGCTTTTCATATTTCTCTTTTATCGAAATTTTTGGCAGCCCCACTAGATTTTTTTCTCTCAACCAACCATGTATCGCCAGCCAATTTTTGTTTTTATTCTGTGCCATTTTAGTAAAAGTTTCCCCCTTCATCACAAAAAGCAAAAAACTGTTACCAAATCCCTGAATTTGTGATCAAAACCAGGGGTTTCAAACCACTATGCAGCGAAAAATGTAGTTAGAACAAGGGAGATATTTTGAGGTTTATTATGCACTTAAAAACACAAGCGAATGGAAGACATAAAAACATCATTCCAAGGAAATAAACCCAGACAGAAATCGGATAATTTACCCGTCAACATTACCAACAAGCGCTATGAAGTTATGTAACCGATTTAGGGTTAGACACACTAGCCTAAAGCATGCCCCCTTATAGGTCTATCCTGCACGTTACCGACGATTTTTTGAACGGAAATTTTTATTATCGAAAAATTTTACCACTTCTTGTTACCGCAATTCTAGGTACGTTGGTAATGCAGTTAAAATATTCAGCAATTCAGCTATGAAATTTGTGGAAGTTCTGGCATTGCATATTTCACGGGGCAATATTTTGTTACCAACTTATGAAATGGTAACAAAAATTACCCGTTACAAGAGTGCACAGAATGAAAAAATGGTATTAAAATTGACAGGAACTTTATTTACCAGTTACAAAGTTATTGTTACCAGCGCAAAATAGACCCGTTAATGTCTGGTAAAGCCCCTCAAAAAACAGCATTGATCTTATGATTGAATATATACAAAATCTATGTAGTTTTGTATTACCTGCCATTCTGCATCAAAACCTAAATTTTGAAAAAATGTACCTGGCACCTTTTCACCTTTGGGTAGCGATATGTAAGTTTAATACATTCAAAGAGACAAAATTATCGAAAAATTATCATCTGAATACCAAGAAGTTTGATGGAATGGTAAACATCCAGTTAATAGCTGAAGTTTAGGAAAAAGTGTATTTTTATTTTAATACACATGTATAAATGTATCTGTAAAAACAGTATTATTCTATGTCATCAACGTTGTTTGTATTTACATATATTTTGCTTTTAATTTTCAGTGCGTCCTTTGTTGGTGGAAATTTCTTTCAATAATCAACCAATGTCTGCGGATCGCAAGTACGAAATTGAATGTCAAGCGATTGGCTCAAGACCACCGGCAAAGATTACCTGGTGGATGGGAAATATGGAAATGCATGGGCATAGTCAAAAGGTAAGATTTAAATGCCGCTCAACATAAGTCTAAAAAGTAATTTTATGAAATAAGGAAAAAAAAATTGTAAAAGCTATGACAAGCTGGTCATCGTACTTTTAGCAGTAGGTATTCATTTTCCTCCTCGATGAAAGTTGTTTTCCCCTTACTTTACTATGCACTTAAACTAAATGTATATTTAATATTTCTTTTAAATATTTCAAAACTGTTTTATTCCGACTCAACCACCTAAAAACGATTTATTTTATTCCATAAAAGGTTTCGGAGGATGGCAATGTCAGCATTTCGGTACTAAGCATCACACCGACACGTGAAGATCACGGCAAGGCGTTATCGTGTCGCGCTACAAATGAACTGGTGCGAAATGGCATACGTGAAACGGCTATGAAACTGAATGTTTTCTGTAAGTATACTTTTATAGTTTTATAAAAGCAATATTCTCCTTTACTACAGCACATGCATACATACTATATAAAGACTTCCTTTAACACTTAGGAATAGAATAATATTTACAGCCGGTTTCACCAGCAATTTAAATGGAAATGATTTTTTATTTCCTGTCAATTTCCATATAAAATACAAAAAATTCAATTCATTTTTCGTTTAAATTGCTTTCGTGAAATTGGCTCTTACCAAATGAATGGATTTGGTGTATGAGTAAAAAGGTAAACTATGTTTATTTGTTCAAAATATCGTAATATCTGGCTGTCCATCAAAATAGAGTAATGTGATCTATGACAAATTAAAGTCACTGTCTTCTTCTTCTTATTTGGCATTATAACCGTTTGTCGGTTTGGGCCGAGAACAGAAAAACTTCGCCAGTTGCCTCTCTCCTTTTTAGATTTACGCCAGCTGCTCATCCCAATGCTTTTGTACTTGGTCCTTCTATTGTGTTCGTGGACGCCCTTGCTTCCGTTGTCTACCCATGGCTACGTAATCTATGGATCTTTTCAACGAAGCGTCGTCATCCATGGGTACAATATGTCCAAGTCAGCGCAACCGTTACATTTTTATGCGCTTAACCATGGCCATGTCGTTAAAAGGCTCCCTCAGTTCATCATTCCATCTTCTTCGGTACTCGTCTGCCACGCGAAAGTAGCCGTAACCTTTGCGAAGAATAGTTCTCCCGAAAGCCACTAAAGCCATCTCATCATTGTTAGACATCGTCCATGTTTCTGCACTATATAAAAGGACGGACATCATGAGAAATTTGTATAGCGCGATTTTTTGTTCGTTAAAATAGGGATATGATTTTCAAATGCCTACCTAGCCCAAAGAAGCGCCTGTTGGCAAGAGTTATTATCCGCCAGACCAACCTCGTTAGCTTCTTTTTCTAAGCTTCAAAATGCTGCGCTAACATCCCTGGGTTTCAAACAAATGGGGATACCATATTTTAGGCATGGAATTCTTCGTGCTATCAAAAACAGCTTTAAAATGAACAAGAAGATAGTGTGTGTTCATTTGCATATCTGGTGTCTTTTCCAGAATTTGGCGCGCTGTGAAAATCTGGTCAATGGTGGACTAACCAAGTCTGAAGCCGCACTGATAAGACCCCATCAGTGGGTTCGTGAACAGGACCTTGTATGCAATATTAAGAAGGCTTATTCCGCGATAATTGTGGCAAATGGTGGGATCTCCCTTCTTGTAGATTGGGCAAATTACACTGAGATTCACATTTCCGGGCATGTATTTATCAGACAAAATTCTGCTTAATAGCTTGCACATGCGCCCCACCAGCTCTTCGCCGCCGACTTTCTGTTCTCACCTCATCCGGATCAAGTTAAGGAACTTCGTGCCTATACACTCACCACTCAGAAGCTTTTGGAAGTGTTCCCCCCACATCTCAGGTATACTCTGGACATCTGCTATCAGATTTCCATTTTAATCTTTGCAAGAGCTAGCCCCAGTTTTGAAACCATTTGATTGCTGCCTTTTTTTGTGATAGAATTTTCGAACCGCATTCCTGTCTGCCAACATCTCAAGCACCTCGCATTCACGTCTTTCTGCCCCTGTTTTCTTTCTTTTCAATAGACGTCTCTTCTCCCTTCTCATCTCCACTGTTGCTCGCGTAGCTATTGGCTGCAGGGTGGCTTTGTGTGCAACGTATTTCTCTGCAGAAGTTGCGCGGCAATCTTCGTCATACCGAGGCGATTTTCTCTTTGCATTAGTAGGCGTTTTTACGTGGTGGGTCCCGAATCCAGCACAAACCCATTACTGAAATGAATGGCTTTTCAACCGGATACACGTTTATATAGCGAACCACTTGCTGCAAGACAGACGGCCGCTTGCCACCGCACCTGCTGATGAACAGATGCTGCAGATTTCGATGAGCCCTTAAACCGACTAAGTCGAAGTGGCCCCACCGAAGCTCCCTATCTTTCTGCCGTGACCCAAGGCTTCACTCAGGTTGGTAAGCGCATCTCGCACATGGGTAGCTCACATTGCGCAGAGTGCGCGAACGGGCACGCAAGAGTCGAAATTGAGTATAGCCGTGCAACTTTAACTGCATACCCAGAAGAACGGCTATACCCCATTGCACTCCGCGGTCATGTAAGCTTGTTTAGTTACAGCATAGACATTGGTCTTCGAAAATTCCGCAGTAGCTTGTAGGTTTTTTTTATATCCAACTGCTTATAGTAGCCATTAGAGTAGCCGACTTGCAAGGCGAAGCTAAGAAGGGTGCTAGCTGCGAAATCTTCATTTATAAAAAAATCCTTGAAATTTTTGGCATTCGTGTGCAGAACTGATTCTACTCACCTACTCTTATAGTAAGCGCGCCTAAAGATAAACAGCCTACCTAGGTATGCTTTTTTCAGTTAGTAGCTTTACTAGCTCTAAAAAAGGTTAAAATTTAATAGTGGAGAGGTAATTGGCCTTAAATAGCCAAATCTTCACTATAAATGTATGCAAAAAGTTCATAGCCAATTTCATAGACTCCTGATAAAATTAGAAACAAATATTTCGAAAAGCTTCCAGCAAACACAACATTTACGCTAATGACATATTTATGATAAAAAAATAATATTATGTCTCCTTCAGCTTTAGTTAGTTGCTAAAACATTGACTCAAAAGCACGCTTACGCACACTTGTGTACACAAGCTTGTGCCTTCCAAATTCATATACATACATATGTACATGTGTATGCATACTTGCACATACACATATGTATTATTTGCTTGCAGAGATGATTTTGAAGCACTCAACTTGATTGGCTATAAAATGCATTGTTATAGCACACCAT